ATATAACTAAGACTTATAAATGATCGTTTTTTTATGTTAAAAAGACGGAGGACACATACCGATTAAAAACCTTTCCACTTTTCAAGCGGGAGAATGGGGTATAAAAGATATAAAAAGATAAAAAAAGGTATTAAAAGAAATGTGGCACGGAAGGCCCTCCATACATGTTGATAAAACTTTTTGAGATTTTTTTATGGGTTGAAAATGCACTACCATAGGATTAAAATGATGTACTTAATTATTAAGTACTAAGTTATTACCCTTTTTTTTTGTTTCAAATGTTTCACTTCAATGTAGGTGAAAAATTCCGTAAACAAAGAAGAATAATTGATTGAAAGAAACCTGTCGTATACTGCATTTAAACCGCAACGAATGCATACCCAATTAAAATGCATAGGTTAGTAGCAACTGAAACCGAAACTACATAATTTAAGCGTAAATTCCACCAAAGACGGATTTTTTGTAGGAAAACATACTTTCTTTTGTAGAGTATACATACATGTATGTACTTTAAAGTTAGTGAATGTTAAAAATTTATATATCTTTTAAGTTTTTGAATATGAAAGATATGGATAATTTATTTCAATACTGTACAGTGTGATAATCTAACAACTACATGGGAAAATTTTATTATAGAAAAAAGAAGGTAAGCATGCACATGGTTAACCGAAAAATTGTTTACATTATACCGGTTCACAACATCATCGAAATATTTAACTTTTTTTTTTGAACCTTTAAAGCCCACCAAGCCACTCCCACATGCAACCTTTCTTTTAACTTTTTCTTTTTTTTTTTCATTCTTTCTAAGTTACTACCATAAATTATGCTAGATAAACCTAGCTATTATCAACCGTTTTATTTCTGTTTAAAACTTTTACCTATATTTACTAAAATAGCTATATGGTCCATCTCACCAAAGAACAGGCTTACGTAAAAATTTACCATAGCATCTGAATTTTTTTTTTACTACTCATATTTAGAAAAATTTCAAGTTTCATTTGTGAATAATTTTGATTATTTCATTAAAAATCAATAATTGTTTATGGCCCATTAATTAAAATTTACACGATGGGAGCTTTCATAAACAAAACAGCATGGTAAAAGAAGGAATTATGACCCTTAATTTTAAAAGTCACAAAAAAAAAATAGAGCTTGAAAAGCAACTTTCCGAATTAAAAAAAAAGTTGGGAGATTAATACAATCAATTCACTGGATGAAGACACGGGGGCTGGCGACCACCAGGGGGGGGGGAGGGGGGATCGCGAAGGCTCTACTATACAGATTAGTTGGTACAAGCTATCATTTTTGATATCTTTTAAAGAAATAAAATTTATGCTAGCATAAAAATGCACCTATGACATATTTTAAATTATTACTTTTAATGCAAATTGTAATTGGACCGCAGAAAAATATTTTGTTTGAAATTTTGCCGCGATAATGTATATTTTTTTTTTCAGGACCCCAATACACAAAACGTCAACATTTGTTTTAATTAATACTGTTTAGTTCGTTAAATGAATAAAACGTTAACGATTATATAAATCTATCGAAGAGTTCTGATATGTTGATTTTGAGAGGTTTTTAAATGTACCACATATTCCATTATATATTGTTAACCATTCAGTGTACGCACGTGTCATTTTAAATAAGGGGTACATGTACAAGTAATAGAAAAAAGTTGTACGACCCTTGATTTTCCGGCAGTTTCAATTACATTAATTTTGTATGAGGGCAAAACCCCAAAATATTAAATTTTAAGAAAATGTTCTTGTATACTATTCAATTGTTAATTTCAGGCCCCCTTGTAGGGGTTCTGGTGTTAGGATGGGGCTTATTAATTATTAGAGATATGCATTAATTATTTTTAAAAATTTTCTTCTCTGCTCCTGGGTATTAAACTAATTAAAAATGGACTATGTACATAGTTTATGAGGAAAAATGCCTTTTTAGTTTGTGAATTTCAGGGCTCCTGAGTAAAAGTTTTTGTTTTAGCCTGTTAGGGCGGTACTCAAATGATTATATAGTGAAACAGTGAATTCTTTCAAATTTTTTTTTTTTTTGGATTTTAGGCCAATGATCTAAATATACATGAATCTTTTTATGGTAAAGAAAGGTGCCTCTTTCAAAATGATTAATTTCAGGACCCCTGGATCAAATAAAGGGGGGGGGGAACCCAGTAGAAAATAAATCAATGCTTTGAAACTGCTCTTTGATATAAATCAACCATTCATGATGAATTAAAATTTATGAAAAAATTTTCCCAAAAATTTTTTAAAATTTGGGGCCCCTATGTTTAGTTTTTCTGTGGGGTTGGGTGCATAACTGTTGGTTAAAAAGTGGAAATACATTCATTCTCTTTGTTCCCCTACCTCAGGGTATTAAGTAACCATAGTACAAGTAACATGCTAAATGTATAATCATGATAAACGGGTTCTTTAAAAATTGTAATTTTATGGTTTTTGGGTTTAAAAAAAGAAACATGCACGAAATTCAATTGTTAGAAAGTTGTTACATATACCCAGGTGACCTATTAATTTACTAAAAATTTATTCAATTTTTAAAGGGTTCATGTGGGTTGTTTGTTAAAGATAAATTTGGGAAAAAAGAACTTTGAAGGGAAAAATTAATTCAATACTAAATCAGCAACATATTTTTAATATACTAAAATACAGACAGGTTATTTGGTGACTACATGATATGGATTGTTATGAATTCCTCTTAATATCATGAAATAAAAAAATAGCAATAACAACTTGAGTCATGTTATTATAATGAATAAAATGAATAAGTTTTAACGCGAAGTTTTTAACTTTTTATTCAAAGTTGCTCAAAAATAGAATTTGAAGTGAAAAATATTTGTATACAATAATAAGAATGGTTTCAGAAGGGTATATCTTTGAACATCACAGAAGGTTTACAATTTCTTTATTTTCTAGAAATATATTATTTGCATCATTTGCAATAAAATTAGGTCAAAAAATATATACAAATCCTGCATCCATTTTTTGTTGTATAATCTGTCCTTAAATCAAAATATAAATGATACATTTATTCATTTCACTTCTCGGGCACTTTATTAAACAATTCAGTATGATAAATGGAAAAAAGTTTTTATAAATAACTGCCTCGTTTAAAATAACATCTATTTCGAAAACATATGCAACTTATGATTTGTCATCTTAGAAATTTTCTGTTTGGAACATTCCGATTGTCCCAAAAATATTTTGCAATAGATATTGAGAAGATGCTTTTAATTTAATTTTTGATTGATACTATCTATGTTACTTGATCCATTAAGTACTATTCATGTCAATTAATTAGATGATGTCTTTATATTCTTATTTGACATGTCTAAAATCTTTTACATGAAAAGGTCTCTTGTTTTGGTCTCTATCTATAAATATACTAATGCATATTTTCGACAATGTTTTCTTGATTTATATATAATATTTATTATGTATAATTATATTTTACACATTCAGTATGAATCCAACTGAAATTCAAATTAACCACTCCTCCATGGCACCTGACCTCCACCTATGACGTTTTAGAGATCCGTCTTTGCCCTGTCCTATTCTGTATTGTTTAATGGAGTTTTGAGCATCAGTAGTGTTCCTTATCTCTATTTATTCTATTTAATATGAAGAAATATACATCACTGCTAAACTTTCAACTTAACGTTTGGATTTACTAAATAATGTCTACTTTCTATAGTCAAATTCCTTTATATTGTTAGCAATAACTATTATCAACTGCATTTGTTATCTACATTTCCCAGTTAATTGAATCAATATCATCAAAAGTATTAATTAAATGTCATGAATATTTTTTTTTATATGTAACTGAGGCACAATCACTTAGGGATTGTACCCCCTTTCCATTTTTTCAAACTTTTACCTATTTTTGTGTTTCTAATATGCACTACATCAAGTTTTTGATAATGTGACCCTTTTCTGTAAGCTGTTTTAAAAATATTTCGTTTTCGATGGATACATACATATATACAAAGTGTATACAACGGGTTTACGGCGGGTGTGATCGGTCGACAGGGGATGCTTGCTCCTCCATGGCACATGATCCCTCCTATGGAATTTCCAGTGGTTCGTGTTCATGCCCTCTTCGCAAATTGGTTGAAAGATTTTTGAGATTGATCCCTGTTTGTTAGCTTCACCATTTTCACTCATAACATTGTGAAATATAAGCGGTGTTTTATTTGAGGTTATCTCTCTTGTTACATGCATCCTGCTCCATTAATGTGTGCATGCCTCTTTTGCATATATTGAAGTTAAGAATGTTATCTTGTGACATATCTTGAAACATAGAACACAATATGTCCATGGGCTACCGGTACCTGCATTGCCTTCGTCATATGCCTTTGGACTGTTAGTCCCCAATGTCCAGACAAAAATTCACAATTGTAACAGTTAATCAAAGTAGAAACTTTGATACTTTGATTTACTAGGGAACTTTAATCAAGAAAATTTTAAAGGTCTGGAGTTTTAATAGTTCTGAAATATATAGTAAAAAAAATAATTTAATTTGCTGTATTGTAAACTTTGATTTACTACATGTATAATTAACTTTAGTTAACAAGAGCAAACTAAAGTTAACTATAACTGTTAGGATGGTCTCTACAGCCCAGTGGCTTATTTTTTTAGTTAATAATTAAGTACTAAATTGTATGTAAATACGGATATATATTAAATTGCTGTTGTAAAATTTTGAATTTCTTTTTTATTATAGCCTTTGAAATCCAATTCCTTTGGCCATGAAGAAGAGGAAAAGAATGAGCTGCTTTTCTGCTAATATATTCATTTCTTTGTTGATTTTATTTGCGCAGGTACGGAAATTTTTTAAACAACAGAGTCAGACAATATTTTCTGTCGTTTTCATATTCCTACATAGCTGCAGAACTGTAGCTCTCCGAAAAAATATATATTGATAGACCGGAGAGCTACAGTGCCACCCATTGAAAAAACTGTATATTTATTGTGCACAAAAAAGTGTGCTTGGTTCTGGTTTAATTCTTCCAAATTCTTACCTCAATTGCAAAAAGAGAGAGAGAGAGAGAACAATGTGATCAAGGTTTATTGAGCTGCAACCTTATCCTTAGCGTTAAGTCGCCCAACTGGCGCATCAGGAGAACAAGGATTTACGTAGGGATGCATTGAAAGATACATAATTTTTTTTCTCACAAAAACAACAAAACCATAATTGGTAATCAACTTTAAAGCAACATAAAAGGTACCTTAAATTTAAACTTGTGCACATTTTGACAATTGGGAGAATGGCTCATTAGAGTGGACCATAACAAAGGAATATAGAGGCTTTATCAATAATATTTTTTTCTTATAAACAACAGAGGCATTGTGTGTCATAATAACTCAAAGGCATCTTTAGGAGGTGTAGGTTTAAGTTTGTTCAAATACCCCTCCCTCCCCTGAACCCAATTTTATATTTAAACTTTTCAAAAGTGAACTTATATTGTGCTTTTACCTAAACAGGTGAGCGTTGTGGCCCCCGTGCCTCTTGTTCTACATGTATAATACAAACACGGACAGTAGAATAATTTTAGCCATGATTTAGTTCTTTTGCATTTAGAGCTTAAACTCGCAACATCAATGGCGAGAAAAAGATCTAGTTCTCCACCCCAAAGTACCGATTTGAAAGAGATTTAAGATTTGACTAAATAAGAAATGATTAATTGATTGTATACTGTTTAACGTCCCTCTGAGAAATTTTCACTCATATGGAGAAGTTATTATAATTAAAAACATGACTGTATGTATATGTTTAATTTGACATTTACAAATGGCTCTGATATTGTTCAAAACGTCATGCGAGCATTGTATTGATCATTAAGAGGAAAGTACTATGATCTTAAGGTGGTCATTTGTTTTAATTTCTTAAACAAACCATATCAATTTTCAAACCATTATTTCGTTATTTAAGCCCGAAGTATCAAAATTGGTAAACGTTTTTTTTTCTATTTTCAGTACAGTCCAATCATTATAGTTTATTTTATGGTTCCCAAACCAAGTTGTTTTTTTTCCTCACCAAATCTAATTAACGTACAGCTACGCACTGTCATTTTTACGGAAAAAGGAACAAATATAGATAATTGAGTAAACATAACCAAACATATATTTAAATTGTTGGATTAATAAAATTATCAATCGTCTAAAGCTTATCTTTGGTACAATATCATAACTCTCTTTAAATTTCGATAGAATGAAAGTGTGAGTTCTAAAAGCTGTTTGGCTAGTATGCCAACATTACAGCTTGTTGAAGAGTGCCCCAAAACAAAAGAGGAATGGAATAAAAGGTCAGACAAAAAACGATGTGACATGTTAGCGGGGACATCTCAGTGTTCATCCTTTGCTTATCACTGTCTACTAAATCAGAATGGAAATGAAACAGTGGAGGTCTGTGCACCAACATGGTTTTTATCAGGTAACCTGTGTTAGAATTTTCTATATTTAGATAAGTATAAATAGGAAGAGGAAAATCTTAAGCCTGGGATTTGTTTCTTGATTGAAATTGCTAAAAATATTTGGATTGACTTATTTTTAATCTTGATTTAATTCTTTCGTTTCAGGATTCTGCGCAATTTATAATACTGATGAGTTTCGAGTAATAGATAACTTTAGCTTCGACTGCAATAACAATACAAAAATAAAGAAAGGGGATAGATGCCCTTCCAGATACATCTCAACAGAGACATACAAATGTAAAGCTCTTTAGTTCTTCAATTTCCCCCTAAAAACATATCAACAAATAAGTGTTTAAACCTTTTATGAATTTATACTTTTTTAGACCAGATTTGTTACAGAAAAAGAGAAGTAAAAGATCTGGAATCTGACAGAATTCACCAGTCAAATATGTAAGTACACTTATTGATAAGAAATAGCACTTTTGAACATATTAACTTAACATGACCCTATGGCGATTGATACATCACGTACTCTTTCAATTGTTACAGTTAAGTATCAACGCAAAAAAATTAAACGTACATTACGAAAAAACATTTGTATAGTATGCCAGGGCATCAACGATAGTGGGAAAAATGGGATAATTTGCATAACGGGAAAAGCATACTATTTGGCCTCCTTAACGTCGGACAAAAAGACAAGTATACGCACCAGATTTGCATGCATATCAGGCCTTTATAGCTCGTACTATAAAAAGTGAAGTGTCCAAGTTGCACTAATACGCTTCCGTACTCCTGACCTACCGACCTGTCTAATATACATTCCTGTAGAATAATTAAGATATCAACTCTGACAATTTTCAAAAAAATTATCACACAGGAAAAAAATTAGAAATGGAAATATTGGGATTTTAAGTCCATGAATGTATTGAATTGCTTAGCTCCTGTGTCTGTATGCCTGACGTGTGTATAGGGCAGGTAATTGATGTTCATCAGCGTATTTCTCAATGATTTTTTTTTCCTTTGTTATCGACAGGGAAGAGGGAAGTAGCCCATTTGTCTTGACAACAGTGTTTATTGTTCTTTTCATCTTGGCACTCATTGCGTCAATTTTCCTATGTGTATTGTTACATCGAGTCGGCTGTGACAAAATATGGAAGAACGGTAAGAGTTTCAAACTTTCCTTTAAAAAGTGAAGATAACAATTATTATGCTCAAAAATCCTGAAAAACAATACAAAGAGTGTGAATTATGAGCAGAGAAAACACGAAACTCTAAAAAAGAGGCGTAATGAGGGAAATCTGCTATACGAAATGTTAATACGATTAAAAATGAAATTTAAGCATTTTAAATTAGTCAAAATCAGACAGAATAATTTTAATGATCAATTGCATGTACGTAGAGTATTCGCATGTAATGGTGTGCATCCGTTGTCTGCGTAAAATTAATCAACCCTGCAAATCTCGTGAAGTTTTGTCAGATTAGATCAGCACTCAGTGATAAAAAAAAACTTTGTAAATTATTTTTTTTTTGGTGAGCTCTCTACAACGAATATGTTTTGGTATCTTTTACAAATCAAACTCTGATTTACCTGACCAGTTCTTGATTTTTTTTTTCGGTATTCCATATTTGATAATGTGAAAAAATCAAAACTGCGCGAGAGTATTTAGTCAAGGAACAAGTTTAATTCAAAACCATACAAATGAGTCTTTTTTATGCCTCTACATGAAATTTATCTCATCTAAGATCAGTTACAAGTAAAGTATTACATTCAGACATCACTGAGTGAAATTCTGAATGAAGTTTTTCATACTAGTTGTTAGGCCATTATTCACTGTAGGAAAGCCGATGACCATTACATATTTTACGTCATCAAAACATGTCGGCCGATCTGGGTTGGGAAAAAATTCACCTCACCCCCTCCCCAAACAAAAAATTGACAAGCCATGCTAAAAATTTTCCAAACTCAAAAACCCTGTTTCTTGGAAGGAAGAGGTGTTTTGACTATATTGTAACTAACTTGGGAGAGAAGGAGGGATCGATTTAATTTTCAATGATCTTTTTCAATAGACAATTGCAAAGAAAGGGTTATGTTTGGAAAAGTTTGGAGTGGTGGGAGGGTGTGTGAGAGGTTGGGCTCCTTTCACTTTTGCCACTTTTTCGCGGTAAAAAGGGGTGTTATTGAACATGAATTGTTTTCATACATATTTCATGATTATTAGATCACATGAGAGAACTCAGGTGACTTATTGCTTTCTGTTTTCGACTGACGTCGTGCGTCGTTAGTCGTATGTTAAAATTTGAACATTTTTAGCATCTTTTCATTGCAACCGCTCAACCAATTTCAACCAAGTGTGACATAAAGCATTAATGGGTCAAGGGGAACAAAATTTGTGAATTTCATGGTCCCTGCCCCCGTGGGGCCTTGGGGATGGGGCCAAAACCACTAAAATTAATGCAATCTTAAATAATGTTCTTCTCTACTCCTGGCAGTCAAAGCAGTCAAACTGTTGGCATGATAGAATCAGCATTGAGTCTTCTACCGCGTAATTGTGAATTTCATAGCCCCAGTTAGGGTCTGGGGTTTTATAGTGCTGGGGAGGGGCTTTATATTTTATATAGTAAAAATGCATGATATATTTGAATTTTTCTTTGCTTTGTGGTATCTTATAAACTAACAAAGTACATAATCATGATGAGCAAGAATGTCTCTTCTTACATTTTGAATTTCATGGCCTCAGGGTTGAGGGTTCTGGTGTTATATGTAGAGCGGGGTTCTATTGATCATATAGTGAAAATGCATTTAAATTCTTTAAAAATCTTTTCCTCTGCTCCCGAGTATTAAACCAATGAACTTTGTACATATTTATGATGAGCAAGAATATTTCTTCTATATTTTGTGAATTTCATGGCCCAATGATTGCAGGCTCTGGTGTTAAAGCGGGGCTTTATTGATCATACAGTGAAATGCATAAATTCTTTAAAAGTCTTCTTCTCTGCTCCTGGGTATTGAATAAACTAACCAAGTACATAGTTATGCTGAGTATTTTGTAAGACCTTCTTCCAAAATTGTGAATTTTATTGCCCCAGGGTCAAGGTTCTGGTGTTAGGGTGGGGCTCTATTGATCATATATAGTGAAAATGCACACATTCTTTAAAATTTTTTTTCAGTAGTTTGAAAGTTGTTACATGATGCTGAAATGGCCTATAAGGGCCGTGGTCCTCTTGTGTATTAGGCATAAGATTGCGGTCATCTGTAAAATTGTATTACGGTCATCATATACATGTACTTGCTAGGGTATGTTTGTTACGGCTATCATACTTTAAAATTTCAAATGCTTTTTTCTTTCATTTTGTTTGTTTGAGTAAAAAAAACTAAACTTGCGTCGAGATAACATCCATGATCGCATAACCTTTATCTTAAATTGCTTAGCTTTATTGAATTATGTTTGTAATCATTGTCGAAAATTTTCATCTTATCGGCTTGGCCGATATATCGTTACGACCGTAATATCTATTACGGTCATCGGCTTTCCCAAGGTCATTATTTACAAACTGAATTGTCAACGGATTTTCCGTTATTTTCCGATCATGATAAGAAGCTCACGGTGGTAATGACCGGTTGGCATGTGATGTTGACTCCAACATGACACCTGATCCCACCTTTGATGTTTTAGAAGTCTTTCTTTAAAAAAGTGATTTAATCTTTCTTATCCTGGCCTGACATGTTTTATATGGTATCTCATGGAAACATTCCTGTACTACAGGAAAATTGTTATTTCTTATATGACTTAGTGTTTTTCACTATCCCCACCATTTGGTATTTCTATCTCTTATTCGCTATTCGTGATCAGGAGCTTGCTCAGAGAATAATCAAATTTTACTTCGTTTCAATATTTTTTCACTTATAACTTGATATGGGATTGACAAAATAATTTTTTTTTAAAAAACATATTCCGTAACTTTTATTGTGGTTCTAGTAACCTTGTTAGCAAAGATATTACGTATCATGTTGATGTATCTTGGCTAATGTGTTTCATACCAATTCAATAGCCGAATTGATCACTTAAAATTCCATCTACCTGGTTCATTCATTGTGCTTTCAAAAGGTGTGCATTGCAAATAAGGGGTGCTCACTTCCCCAAGGCAACTTTCTAAACTGATGATTTTCCAAATTTTAAGGGGTTAGTGTTTAAGACCTCTTCTGATATTTTTTCTGTTTATAGATCTTTTTTTAGATTGGTTATTATTCGTTATGATACCCTCAATCATTATTCGTTATGATACCCTCAAAATGACTCGGATATATATAAATTAAAAATTGTTATAGATTTTAAATAGAATTTTGAAGATGATACTTGTACCATTATCTGGTAGCTTGCACAAATGCATAGCAATGCTGAATAATGTATTAAATTTTTTTCGAGGAACGTTGCTACGGTTGCTACAGTAGAAATTTATTCAATCACAGTTAATTTCTTGAGAAGAAAATTTCATTTTTAGGAATTTACATTCATTGCCTGTGTAGATTGCAATGACCAAATGATATCAAGAAAACAGATTGGTGTTTGGGTCTGAGTAAACGCATTGTGAAGAAAAGAATTCAAAGTAAATAGATCTTAATTGTTATAATCTTTAGTTTTAACATATATGTATCTTCTGCTGGATTCCTTGATATATATATTTCCGTTATCCACACTGAGGTTAAACTGGTTCATTTCTGTCAATATCGAACACCGATCAATGCAAATGAGATCAAATTATTTTCGCCTATTGTGTGACGTAAGTGAAAAAATACATCTAACACAATATATCACTCTGTGGTCAAATATCAAGTTTTTTTATATCGCTGGGAAAAAAAGGGGAAATTTAAATCTTCAAGAAAATTTTTTATATAACATTTTTTAATAAGTTTTTAATTATATCAAAATGTAATAAGTTTCGCTATAAACCCAAAAAACGAGTCACACCAAACATTATGTCACCCCGGAAAATTTAGTCACCCCCGAGGAAGATTTATGTAGCCTTTCGATCACCTTCACGGTTTTAACGTTACGCAATTTAGTTCGGGTTCGAATTTCATACGTCGGTTGCTAAACAAAAGTAAACAACAAAGATTTTTTAAGTAAAGGAAATTTATTATTTGTGTAAATTTTGTCGATTTTTAAAATTTCAAATTTTCTTTTAATTTTAAAATGTCGTATAACATATAGTCATATCCCCCAAAGGCTTTCCACTATACCAGAAACCCCCCCCGGGCCCAAACCCGGATTTAGCCCCCTCGCCTTGGATCGGGTGACATAAAACTCCGGGGGTTTCCTGTCACCTCGGGGCAAATATTTTTTGGATTCCCCGAAGCCATGGAAATTTTAATATAGAAACATGTTTTTATGGTATTATACAAAACCCTGGCTTTCCCAAAAAACCCTTAGTGTTATGTCACCTGATGTGGAAGGCAGAGGGGGACATAACACTCCGGGTTTCCTGTCACCGAGGGGAAATTTGGAATCACCCAGAAGCCATGTGGTATATGTTATATGACATTTTTAAAATTAAAAGAAAATTTAAAATATTCAAAAACGTTAAAATTTACAAAAAATCCAAAAATGCCTTCTTGACGTTAAGAAATACGTTGTGTTGTTTGCCTTTGCCTAGCAATCGACGTCATAAAATCTCGAACCCAACTAAAAGCTACGTAAAAGCCGTAAACGTGATCAAAGGATGAAAAAACTTTTCTGGGGGGGATAATCCCTTTCCGGCTACATAACTGTTTCCGGTGTGACTGATTTTTTAGGGTTTATAGCGAAACTTATTACATTTGGAATAATAAGAAAACGTTTAAAAACGTTATAAAAAATAGAGTTTTGACCTTAGTATTAATCAATATTGCAGAACAGACATATAGAAACAACACAAATGTATCCACGCGGGAAAAATCCGTTTCTTGGAAATAATCAAGGTAATGGTATTTACTTTATTTTTTTTTTAAAGTTTACTTTAAAGTTTCAATCAATGTTTCATGATTAAAATATTAAGATTAAAAAATTTGTTAGGCAACCAAAAGGGCTCTTTTACTTTATTTCAGTTTTAATTACAATTCTATTTAGAAATAAGTTGTAAGTAAGAATGTCTTTTAATGTATTTTTTTTTACATTTTGTCTACATGTACAGTTAAGCCTAGACAGTTCCTTGCAATATAACGGTAAATACTCAATTTGTCGTCAATAACACAATAGGGTCATTATATATATATTCTATTTTCAATGTTTGTCACTGGCCATAAGTATCATTTTGATTCAGTGTAATGTTTTAATGTGAAAGTCACCCTTTCAAAGAAATATGGGTACATGTATACATGGATTTTAATTATTTTTTGCATGTAGATAATTAAAATAAGTGTTTAAAAATAAAGTTACAACATCAAAAAAATTTTTTTTTTTTGTGCTCTTATTTTTGGTAAATGCATAATTTTAAGTGCAAAAAAGGGAACAAAAAGGTAAAAAAGTTTTTAAGCTGTTTTATATGTAAGAGATAATCAAAAGCTGGATGTGTTGATGAATATTATTTATAGCATAGACTCTTATCTTTTAATTAATCAATAAATAAGACTCCAATTTATCTTTTCTTTAGAAAATTATATGGTAAATTTGATTTAGCAAATGACTTTTTGAATTCAGTATCCAATTTTCATTACGTTATAAAACCCAATACATTACATGGACAGAATTTTTTTCTGATGTTATTATAAATACAAAGTACAAACTCTTGAGTCATTCAATAAAATCAGTGGGAACAGGTATATTGAAAGAAATGAAAGGAGTCAAATTTACCCATTTTTTTTAAAATAATTTTCCCTAATGAAAATCCCGCCCGGTTTTTTTATAAAGAAGAAAATACTACGATTGAAAGTTAATTTGGCTTTTTGTTGTGATAGATTAAAAAATTACTTGATTTATTTTTTTACATGTCTCATAGGTGGCAGGTGTCTTTATTTTAAAAATTTATTAATTTTCTTTTTTTGATCGGGATCGGTTTTATTTCAAGGGGATGGGTTTTTTCCCGTAAATTTAGAAATATTTCCTGTTTGGTTTCATTTTTTATCAGGAAAATATGCGTGTTTTTTATTTCTTTTCAGTCAATCAACTCTTTTGTGATGAGTGTATCCATAAATTAAAATGTATAATATATTTAAATTACTATGTCTTTTACATACATGAAGATTACATGTAAAACATCTGTTTAATTTCATATACTGGTATTTAAAAAAAAATTTATTTGTACATGCATTATGAAACAACGAGAGAAAGTTAATTTTAGCTGCATTATTAATCTTTTCCCCAAAGAAATCTTTTTATATTTTCTCAGGAACTAAAGAGTTAAATTCTATCACTGGGAAATTTAACTTGCCTAAATACAAAAAATATTTTATGTGTACAGTCTGGCTTTACCCAAATTTTTTTTTACCTGCCACCTGTAAACCTTTCCCCCACATTTTCCTCTTCAACGAAATTTAAATTTATATAAATAAGAAAACAAGTTCTTTCATATAAAGTATCATCAATTTAAGAGCGATCGAGTCCATAAAAGCTTGGAAAAAGCGGGGGGGGGGGCATCATTATGTTTAAAAACTGTACACTGGTTTTAAAACATTTTGACCAACATATTCACATGTTTTAACTCCATATTCAATGTAAGTGTGTGATTATCTCAATGGCTAAATAGATAAATGAATACAGGTAAATGAATGAATGAATGAATGAATGAATGAATAAATGAATAAATAAATAAATAAATAAATTAATTAATAAAATAAAATAAAAAGAAAACGAATTGTTTCACTAAAAATCTTCCCTTACTGGGAGTTCAGATAATTTACCACAATAAATAATTTTGAATTCATAACTTATTTTTCAGGTTTTTTTTTCATTTTTAAAGACCCAGATTTTTTTTTTGATTTGACTGCAAAATAAATATATTTAAGTTTTTTAAAATTATGAAGTAAACATTTAACTTCATTGAATTAAAAAATCGTAAATCTAAAATATTCATCATTGATCCCTATAACAGAAGAAAATAAAATGCTTCATCCCAATTTTATAAAAAATGTTCATTATAAAAAATGATTTTTACGCATTCCTATAAAACAGTTTTTTTTTTTTTTTTTTTTTTAAAAAGCTCTCAGACAGTAAGAATTACTTTTAAAACAAGTTTTTAAAACATCTAGCTGAGCTGCCCCTGTATAATTTCTTTTTTCCTACACTTTTACGCCAAAAATTTCAAACTTCTCTGGAAAACTTGTAACTATTTCATAATGACGCAATACTAGTCAGGTATATGACGTCACTATACATCAATGGAAACGTGGATTCAACCCCAATAATAAGACTTTTGGGAAAATTTTACTAGCATTCCATAAAAAGGGTTTAGAATTTACCGATGCCACGGGGGATAACTCTTGCATCACAAAAGTTCATCAAACTTAAACCAGAAAACTACTATCAAAAAGGGTTTTTCCCCCTGATTTTATTTTCTAAAGAAAAAAATTGAAATATTTCTAATTTAGTTAGTGTGAATTATATCCTGTTAAAAATGTATTGGAAATTACAGTTCTTTGTTTTTGACCTACATTCAATGGTTTATATAGGGGACTTCAAAAACACAAAACAAAAGGAAATTTTACTAAATAAGCAATTTTCAAACAAATCTTCAATTACATTATTCCTTTTGGACTACATTGATATTGTTTTTCATAAAATATCAAATATTCCTCACATTCGATGTGCCGCCTAGCTTTTTATACAATGCTGTTTTTTCAGTGGACTGCCTCTAAATGGCTACTCTGTCCATGAGAAATACTTGAACCATATGCGTTTACATGAAAATATAGATCATGGGTACAGTAACTCTTCGGTACAGTAAAAATTTTTTTTTGGTTTACCTGGGTGAGCCAAAAAAAAACAAGAACTAAATTTTTTCCCCACTGAAGAATTTCATTGAAAATGCAGGTTTAAATAAAATACCCCGTATTTAGGGAATCGAGTTCACTGTACAAAGTATTTGAAGTAATTTTATGAGATTGATAGGGAAAATGGGTCAGTTTTTTTAAAATTTAACCATACCAGGAGTTTAAAAGCAATGCAGGGTTTATCATCAGTAATATACATGTAGTGCATGCTAATTTTAAAACAGAAAATGAAGATATTAACATGGATTAAAAAGAAAACAAAAAAAAAAAATGCGGTACTGAAAGTAAATTAGACCATTTCTTTTTTTTTTTTGGTTTAATCCCCCTGCTTTATCTTATTTTTGACACGCCAGTGCAGAATATCATATAAATCAGCATTACAAAAAAAATTAATTTGAGAAAAACTTTGGTGTTTTGTTATTTTTTACATTTGTTGAATCTGTCAAATTAAGTATCGATATTTTTTAAATGTATACGGTTCGGTTTAAGTTTATTCCTTTTTATTTTTTAATTCTTCATTATAAGAATTTAAATCATCATTGTACATATAATATCCATTTTCTCTGCTATTTGCTAAAAAAATCATAGTTTTTATTCCTTTTGGTCAGTTACAGTCCAGTTGTATAAATGTCAGAAGTGAAAAAGTTTGTCATTACGATTTATACAAGACTTTCCACAAATATTGGACTGTCAAAGGTTTATTTAAGACAGCAAGACTAAAGGAATGACACCACAGGGAGTTTTTTTTCATCGGAAACGACTGTATAAACTACCTATACTATATATGCATCACATAACTGTGGCGTGCAACAAAAAAAAAAGAAAGAACCATCAGGGTTAACTACATGTATTTTGCACTTTGTCCAAAATTATAAGTTTTTTTTTTTTATTTTGGATAAAACTACGGGATATGTTAAGAATTTTTTTTCTAATTTAATTCTTATCACTAATATTGAAAAATAGATCCATATGTGAACAAGTAAAAAACTCTGTAAAATGCTTTTTTTTGCTTATCAAATGGTTCAATAAAGACATCTAAAATAGCTATGTGAATGAATGCCGTAATATTTACCAAAAGACTTTAATAATTACCTGTGATAAGACTTTTTCAAATTCATATCTCACTTCTTCCCTATCTTTTTGATTTCTAATGGAGCAACAAAACAGGTGTTAATATCAAATTTTTACCAACAACAGGAATCAAAACCCAGTTCAATCACAAGAAGAGGTTCGGCGACAAAATCATCCCCTTCTTGAATAAATAATTTTTTTAATTTTACTTTAGTCTTAACATGTTGTAAAAATTTGAATTTACTAGAGGGAGGTAAATGCCAAATTTACAACATATATAAGCGTAAATACCACAGAACATACCATTAGCTTTGTGCTAGGACAACTGCTATAAAGTTTGTTTTATTAAAATCCGTTTTGACAGGACACTTTATTAAAAGGCTTTTATTGACTATACCGGGTAGAATTCTTCTCTAACTGTGCCGTATTGAAACGAAAAGGGGAGGTTATGTTCAGAAACAGATGATGTCTCCTCGGCAAAATCCCCAGTGATGCCATATACAGTATTTGTGACATATTAATTAAGCACATAGGTCATTCTGTCCCTGAAAATATCTATACAAAATCTATCAACTCAATACCTTCTTTTGAAAAAAGTGAAATCTTCCTTTTACACTAGCACATCAACTTTTTATGACGCAATATTTGCTTAGAAACAAAATAGTCAATAGTCTTGTATTTTTGTACAAAATAACCACCAGTGTTGTCATTTGGGTGTTTTAAAGATGTATATATTTTGATCTGAAGAAAACTGTAACTATTCCTGCAATAAACGAATTGCTTTAAATCGAAAGCACAATCTTGGGATTTTGCCAAAATAAAATATTGATCGCTTCAATTAAACAATTTCATAATTTTCTCAAAAAAAAAACCCAAATCATTTTGGAACGAACGTACAGTTTGAAAGTCCCAAAGTAT